GTATATAATGTATGTATGCATGCATGTATGTATATAATGTATGTATGCATGCATGCATGCATGTATGTATGTATGTTTGAAACATAATCCTAATTTTAAAAAATCTAGGTTGTACACTAAAAACAACTTTTAAGTTTGTAACCAATGGTTTGAGTTGTGCTACAAAATACACTAAGAGTCAATGCAAGTCTTTCAAGACTAGATGAAAAATTACCTAGTTTATTAGTGATACAGTGGAACACGAGAGGTGTATGCAGCTGTCCAAGATGCTACTAGAATAAAGATAGCAGTAGGAAGACCACCTCTATTTAGCAGAGATAACAATTATACATTATATATACCCGTATACACGCACACGTGCAAATATACCTCATCAGTAAGCTTGTCTATCCTATATAAATTGGGGTAGATTATCTTCATCAAATGAACCAGAGGCTGACTTTTTATTTGGCACATAGCATATATGCGATCATCCAGACGTGTACTTGTGCCTGTTCTAAAAGCTTTCTGTAAAAAAAAAAAGAGAAAATAAAAATATTGTGTTTTTTATTGTAAATAGGCTAAGAACATCTAAATGAATAACTATCTGGCAGAATATTTTTCCACTTAAGTGGAAGATATATATCACAAAATTTTAAATACTTCTTAGCTACTATTATAAAACAGTGGTAAACACTGGTTACAAGTACAGTATTGATGAGTAGCAATAGTATTTTTATATTTCTTTAGAGATTATGAAAGCTAAGCAAATTGATGCATGTTATTGGTTCTACGTTACAATAAAGCCCACCAAAATTACAAAGATACGGTATTCAACCTATTAATCTGTATGTCATCATATTTCTGTAATCAAAACAGATTTTAACATTTACTTTTTTTAAATTGCTGTTTATCAGAGGTTATACCTGTTTAAAAAGAGCCAAAATATACAGTGGGAACAGCCTGAGAGAATATGGAGCGATCAAAGCGGATTGTTGGAGGTTTGATGCTGTTGACATATATGCAGACAGCGAATCTACGACTGCATTGGCTAAAGCATCTCTAGCATCTGACAAACTTGATGAAACAGATCGATCCACAGCTGTAGAAAATGAAGTAGTAGCAAATAATTGTGAGGGAACCATATTTAAAGAGGCAATGAAAGTATACCAGTACAATGATTACTATTCTGCTAGCACATTTTCATTTTTCTAAATAGCTTTGAAGATATTAAACATGCAGTTGATCCAGAATACAGTGAACAAGACTAAATTATATTGCGTTAAAGGAAACACACCTCATATCTCATAATTGTCTAAAACTCTTTTAGAGAGAAGATAAAGGAAATCTACAATAGATAAATTGTAATTTATTTTTTATCTTACTTAGTAGCTATAAAATAAAATTTGAAGTTATAAGCTCTATAAACTGAGTATGTTGCCATTATGTTGTACTCACAGGATCTGTTTTCTGCATGCATTTACAGTAACAGTGTTATTTACTACACACATCCAAGGTGATGAGCAATTAATAAAGATTTACTAACTTCAAACTAAATATTAACCTTTATTTTATAATTTAAAGAAGTGGCATTTATTTATTTATATCATCTATAGCTGCCCACATCAACAAATTTCCATCCCCAGGAATCCCTCTGGAATACCTGGGTGGTTGAAGAAGTCGTATCCACGATTAAGGAATGAAATGAGTTCTATAACCATGCTGGATGTTTACGGCATTTATACTAAATGTCTATGGAGAGTCAGTCATCCAGGTCATGGTTGTCCCAAAGGTGCTTTTTCAAAAAGCAACTGGACTTTCTGGTTTTTCTTTGAAGATGTTTCGTTTCTCATCCAAGAAGCTTCTTCAGCTCTGCATCGCTAAATGTCTTTGGAGATTCTCGGTCATCCAGGTCATGGTTGTCCCAAAGGTAGTTTTTGGATGAGAAGTGAAATGTCTTTAAATAAAAAGCAGAAAGTCCAGTTGCCTCTTGAAAAAGCACCTTTGGGTGACTTACAGTAGTTCTTAGTATCAGCTTGTTCCCTACCCACTTCCAAAATTTATCTATGATGTACACTATGTAGGGATCATAATATCATTGATTACATCCCCTATAATCCCATGGCAGGGCAGAAGAACGGCGCCTTCCCACTGCCTACCCATTAAAATGTATGTATTTTTCACTGCAAAAAAAAAAGTGATATTTTAACATTTATTTGTAACTTACCCATATTAGCTAGGAGGCATATAATTGCTTGTACATCTGCTCCAGCATAAACATCCATCAAGGAAGTCACTACAGGCAAACAAAGTGTATGCACCCTAATTCTCCGTTCACCTGTATTAGGATCCAACCACACAGTGATAAATATGCAGTGTTTATTTTTGATCCAATTTTTTAAATATACATTTACTAATCACATAAAGGCCAGCTACTTCAAATCAAAGGGAACATTTTTTCTATGACATCAGCCTTTATTTTTGTCTTTTTCTATAGAAAAGATATTAAAAACAATTATGATGCTTCTCTAAGATTACCTTTGCTGGAAGTATACAAAAGTGCTGTTTGAAAACAAACTAGTGATGTATCTGTGAGATTTTCTTCGATGGACATCTGCACTGCAAATCCAGCATCAGGATTTACATTTGCAAGTGACAACAAATCAGTAGATCGCACAAAAAAGTTACCATGAAAAGTGTGAATGGAAAGCCCTAGAAGAAAAAAAGCAAAGTTTCAGTTAATATTCCAGTAACAAAGACTGATGATAAATACATCTACTAGCCCTGGCATATTAACTAAGTTTAATGGTGCTTTCTCTCTCTAGAAAGTATACTGCAGACTACAACAGCCACATTTGAAGACAGAATATGTACTGGTGGTAGAAAACATTTGGGCCATTTAACACATTTGTTTCCTCTGGCCTTCCCCCCACCCCACCCCAGGCATGAGAGAAAATAATTTACAAGAAGTTACAGAGACTGGAAACAATAGTGGGGAAAATGGTGCAAAACAGTAAGTGTGGGATTCACCCCCACCCCCCAAAAAAATCTCCCTGCAAACTTCATAAACTTTTGCCTTGATTCCAAACAACTAAAAATGAAGAAACGTGCTACTTGAAAAAAAATAGCTAAAATAGTGCATGCATTATTTTAAGTCTGAGAAAAATACTATCTCAAATAGTTCACTTAGTAGAAAAACCATCATAATCAAGACAAGGATGCACCAATCTTCATAAGTCTTCCTTTGCAGAAGTGATGGAATAACTCTAAACTCTCACAAAAGCATTTGGTTCCAGGTTATGGATTTTATTTGTCTGAATGACTTTGACTCAAGTTTTTTAATACACTCTCTGAATGATATTGGCATATTCAAACTACCGTTTCCCCAAAAATAAGACCAGGTCTTATATTAATTTATGCCAAAAGACACATCAGGGATTATTTTCCAGTTAGGCCTTATTCTTTTTTGGAAATATGGTACTAAATGCATCTGTCTGGCTGTAATCTCAGCTGGGGCTTATTTATGGGATAGGCTTATATTATGAGCATCCTGAAAAATCATGCTTGGGCTTATTTTTGGGAAGACAATAAATTTATTTCAAAATCCAGATGATACCTTTTGTACATCTTATTCGCATTACAGCTTCAAATCCAATCTTTCGTGTAAAGTATCTTTGAAGATCTTTTTGCAGTTTTTCTTTTTGAACAGGGTTGTGGATATGATGAAAAGATGGATAATAATAGACGCATCCAGCAGAATATTTGGAAATACAAGCTTTAGGGGAGGATGAAAAAATGGTTAATATCCAGTCAATACAGGCAGGACATATTCTTATTTTAAAACAAATATTCATCATCTGGAAAATGGAAAATAATAATTTTTAAATATTTATAGGAAGTGCTCTAGCATCTGATGCTGTTCTTAACACTGCAAGCCTTTATCTGAATCAACCCTGGTGATCAATGGGATGACAGATGTTGCAGCCAGTTCACCCTCACATCCAGCCTTTAACTGAAGAAAGCCAGGTGAAGACTTTTAATACAACATATAAAACCATAGAGAAGAACTATTGCAAGGAACAAAATGTATAATGATATCAATGGTTCCCATTTTAATTTTTGTACCATCTCTTAGACATTTCATAGTGCATTTTCCCTTGGTACTTTAAAAAAAAACCTGAATTATTACCATACACATTAGATACCAGCAGTGTGCAGTCTTTGGATCTAAGTGAAGGTTCCAAAACTGGATGGGCTGATTTTATCTACTGAAGGTCCTAAAAGAACCTCAGTTCCAAGGAAAGTTAATCTTTTAAGACACCACTGCCAGGTACATAAAGCATGCTCAGTCCAGATCCAAAGTAACCCTTTAATCAATACCTGCTTAACCTGATAGCTGTATCTACATTAAGGAACAAAGTAAAGTACAGTAACAGCTTCATTTTCTATATGTTAGGTGTTTTTCTTCATTCCAATTATTTGTACTTACTCATACACTGACTTTTTTTCCTAGGAACTCAAAATAGTTTACACCAGTAGTAGTCAACCTGGTCCCTACCACCCACTAGTGGGCGTTCCAGCTTTCATGCTGGGCGGTAGGGGTTTGCTGTAACTCTGCTTTATAAATTTTATAAAGTAAAGTTACTTCCCTACTTTATAAATCACCATTATTGTGGAACTGGTGGGCGGTTAGAAAATTTTACTACTAACAGAGATACAAAAGTGGGCGGTAGGTATAAAAAGGTTGACTACCCGTGGTTTACACAGTAGGGCTTCCTTTATACATTTCACAGGAAATTTGCAGAATTATTGTATGAGACATATCAGGCATGTGAGACAATCTACCGACACAGTAATCATATAGAAAAAAAAACTGATTTAAAAATGAGACAGCATCCCTTTACATATTTACATCCCTTTACATATCCCTTAACATATTTCAAATGTTTGTGTGAAGTATTAACCACCTTCTTTCAATGCAAACATCTGAGCAAACATGTTTTGGAACTTTATAATTTTTTTTTACAAATTAACACAGGGTTCCTCAAAGCGGTAAACTATATGAAGTAATGCAAGTTAATAATCCTTACCGAGAGAGGCCAAATCAGAATACTGTGAACTTAAGAGGAACAAATCCACAGCTGTCTGCTGTCCTGAACAATCAAGTGCCAATTTTTTATAAAAATCTGTTGCAGGTCCAAGATGTTGAACAATCTAATGCAACAAAAAAAGTAAGATTATTGATGCAATAGGAAAAAAAAATGTGTTTGTCTAAGCTGTCTGCAAATTAAATGCACTGTTAACAACTGATCATTATAAATATATTTATTAAATTTTAAGGCATGCAACAGCTGAAGCTATATATAAATCTACAGAAATATAACATTATATATAAAATATAACTTGTTATATTTTCTGATTTAAAAAAAATACTTTCATCTTTTAATAACTAGAACATTATCGAGACGAGTCCTTCACCGAGTGAATTTCTTTGTGCTTAGATCGAGCAAAGCAACAATGGAAATTCTTACTAAGGGCTTATTCTTCCCCTATAATTATCCCATGTATTAAATACGTTACTTATATTACATGATAGTTATTTTAAAAATAAACTGAAAATAGTTTAGATATTCAACCTACAGCAACAAACGAAGAAGGGAAGATATAGAAACATAAATTATTGTTTTGCTCTCTTATCTGTATTTCTCAAGTTCATATTGCCGCTTATCTCACACAAAGCGACTATGAGAGGCAAATAATAAAGCCTACAATTAAAATATATTACAAAGTCAATTAAAAATAATAAACATGGATAAAACAAGGCCACAAGGGAGAGATTGCATATAATGCAGCTAACAGGTGGACTCCCTATTAGCAGGCATCCCTAAACTTACTGAAAATAATAAGTTTCAAGGTTTTTCCAGATGGCTATTAAGATCAGGGATAACTTCAGATTGGGAGGAATGATGTTTCAGAGAGCACGTCATAGCAGATGACGTCAAATGGAACTCTTTGGCAGATGGGACCGACAACATGCCTTTCCTGCCAGACCTGATGGGATGGGTAGATGTAATCGGGAAGAGGCATTCCCTCAGATAACCTGGCCCATGCCATAAAAAAAGTTTTAAATGTCAAAAGCAGCACTTTGAACTAGACCTGGAAGGAAGCTGGTAACCAGTATAGGAAGTGTAACATGTGTCCTTCCAGAGGCATTCTTAAATCATCTCTACAGCTGCAGTTTTGCACCAGCTGACTCTTCCCAATGCTCTTCATGGGTAGTCCATATAAAGGGCTTTGCAAAGAAACCAATAGAATTTTCCAGTTCTATATTGAAACCATTCACATATTTTCTGAAAACTTAATTCACCTTCATAAACCTATGAACACTACATAACATCTTCCTCCATGACTTTTTTTAATCTGTTCAAAAGATGTGATTAAATAAATGATGTTATCAGTTTAGACTGAGCTGTATTCCACTAAAAGAAGAAGGCAGGGACCACATTCATAGATTCCAGTGTTTCATCACGCATCACACACAGTTTGAACACTCAACATTTGGTTCATTAGAATGAATATGAAGATTCTTAGAATAGAATAGAATAATAGAGTTGGAAGGGACCTTGGAGATCTTCTAGTCCAACCCCCGCTTAGGCAGGAAATCCAACACCACCTCAGACAAAATGAGCCTGCCAGCTAATGTTTCTACCAAGCATTTCCAGCCTGTCTAATTAATTCCTTATCTGAAACGAATACCTTGGTGCTTGATCTTTGATTAGGATCTTCCCGAGAGTGTAGGTATCCTGTGCCCACAGAAGGTAACTGTGTTTGAAACACAGATACACGCCCACCAGTTGGAGACATCAGTTTAAAGGCAGCTTGAAGAGCTGGGCCTAATGCACTGTGTGTTTCCCTTGTGTAGGTAAACATACTTGGTAGTGCATTCAGCAAGTCTTTAATTAGCTAGAAAATAAAATGAGCAAGAGCGTTGAAATTTCAGCAATACTTTTAAATACTTTTAAAATTCAATACAAGTCTACATTTCTAAAAAGTCCATTTTCAGCAATAATCTGATTTTTCTAAATTAAATCCAAGATTCCCAAGAGCAGAACACAAACTCAAATACACACACACGGCCCTGTGGTGCCCCCTCCAGGGTACACTGACCTATCTGTATAAATCTCATCTGTGCTACACCAGCTACTCTTCCCTTTTCTCTTGCAACAAAATTATTTTAAATCAAGTTCTGAATTTAGCGTAGATCTTGTTTTATTTGATCAAATCTCTTCCGATTCTCTAAACTATACAGAATCGTAGAAAACAAAGGAAAAATGTATATTCTAAGATGAAGATGAAAACATGGTTGGAAAGATGCAGTCCTTTTAAGATACCATCTTAATGTCTAACACTAATATTCTAAATTAATGTAATCAAAAGCAAAGAAGCTACCATGAATATTTTTAGTTTAATATTTATTGTTGTAAATGCTATTGTATTTCTCTTACCTCTTTACTTTCATGCAGATTGACAAGTAGACTATCAGGCATAGGCAGGAAAATATCTATGGAGAAGACATGTTTCACTTTTGATTTCTTATGTTAATGTAATATAATTTTAAAAGTATAGTAAAATAGCAAAAATGGTCAGATGCAAATGTAATGCACGTCTACAACTGAATTACATTTCTCAATGTGCAAAAGAGAACAAATATGTTATTCCTAAACTATCCTAGTCTGTCTTGACTGGTTTTCAAATTAACTTGCAAACATGAATTGGGAAAAGAAAACACCACTCAATTCCAGTATGATCAAACTAGTATAACTGAAGTAGCATTTTTCCCCATAGTTGTAATATTCTGGAACCTTAAAGTGAGCTAACTTACCAGTATACTGAATTCTGTGTTGCTTTTTCTAACTTTTATTCTCCCAACTGTTCAAATAATCTTACCATCAATTTCTGAAACAATGAGCATCTGAGGCTGTGATAATCCTTCCTGCAAATTGTAGAACTGAACAGTGCTATCAAATGTTATGAAGCCAATTTTTGTTCTTGTATCTCCAGGCAACCTTTAGTATGAAAATAAAACAAAAGCAAGAATGTTCCTGCAGTACAGAGGTATATTCTAGAGGTTATAATGCTAGTAAATGATTATTAATTTATCTTAGAAAATAATATTCTCCTAATGAACATTATCTAGCACATTATTAACTATTTTCTGTCATGGACCCAGAATTTATGAATGAAACCTGAACATAGACGGTTCATAGTTGGTTCTCTCCCCTACCCCCCACCGCTTCTACTTGTTTGGCAATTAGAAAACTAGCTATGTCAAATTGCAGCTAATTGTGGTGGGGTGAAATATGGAAAAAGAAAAGGAGAAGCTTAAGCCTAGTTTTTCATTAAACATTGGACTGAGCATGCTGCTAAAGAGAGGGGCTGTTTTCTATAACAGTCTGACCAAGAAGTTGTTTCACAACTACTTGGAAGTCACATTATCATTAGCAATGGCAATAGCACTGGACTTATATACCGCTTCTTAGTGCTTTACAGCTTAGTGCTTTAAAGCAATTTACAGAGTCAGCATATTGCCCCCAACAATCTGGGTCTTCATTTTACTGACCTCCGTAAGACTGAGTCAACCTTGAGCTGGTCAGAACCGAACTCCTGGCAGTGACCAGTGAGTTACTCTGCAATACTGCATTCTAATCACTGCAACACCATGGCTTTTTAGACACTTCAGTATCATTAGACACTTCATTTCAAGTGGAAAAAAACAAGTTCCATCCAATCTTCCTTATGCTTTAAAATGTAAGTACTGTTGTGTCCAATAAATACAGAAAGTTCTTACTTGTCTAAGTTTTCCAGCAAAGACTGACACACAACTTCTAAGTATCCAGCTTCTATTGCATTATGGGACACATCAAACACAAATAAATATACTGCAGGTTGCGGAGGACGAAGCTGTAAGATAAGATTGATTTTTACTAATGTGCTTATTAGATCTGTTCTAGCAAACAGGTTTGCCATTTATGTAGCCCCCCCCCCCCTTTTACACATATAAAGGTAAAGCTTCCCCTCGCACATATGTGCTAGTTGTTCCTGACCGTAGGGGGCAGTGCTCATCTCCAGCTCATATTTAAAGCTGAAGAGCCCGCGCTGTGCAAAGATGTCTCTGTGGTCATGTGGCCGGCATGACGAAACACCAAAGGTGCATGGAACGCTGTTACCTCCCGACCAAAGGTGGTTCCTATTTTTCTAATTGCATATTTTACAAGCTTTCAAACTGCTAGTTTGGCAGAAGCTGGGACAATAATGGGAGTTCACTCTGTTACAGGGCGCTAGGGATTTGAACTGCCGAACTGCCGATCTTTCTGATCGACAAGCTCAGTGTCTTAGCCGCTGAGCCGCCGTGTCCCTATATCTGGACCTATAAAATATTATCTTTTAAAACTATAAATTTACCATGTAGTCTGAAGAAGCAATGA